CCATGTTGGATAAGTAGTTTGAAAATATTTTCACCCATTCTGTAAGTTGTTTTTTCACTCTGTTGATTGTTTCCATTGTTGGGCAAAAGCTCTTTGGTTTGATGATTCAATTTGTTTATTTTTGCTTGTGTTGCCTGTGCTTTTAAGGTTTTAACTATGAAATCTTTTTCCGGACCAGTGTCCTGAAGTGTTTTCCTTGTTTTCTTCTAGTAGTTTTGTTGTTGTGTGTCTTACATTTAGGTCTTAGATCCATTTTCAGTTGACTTTGGTGTAGGGTGAGAGGTGGGAGTCTAGTTTCATTCTGCATAATAGTATCCAGTTTTCCTAGCACCACTTTTTATTTTGAGACAGAATTTCACTCTATTACCCAGGCTGGAGTGCAGTAGTGCAGTCACAGCTCACTGCAGCCTCGACTTCTCAAGCTCAAGAATCCTCTCACCTCAGCCTCCCAAAGTTCTGGGATTATAGATGTGAGCCACTGCACCCAGCCCCCAGCATCATTTATTGAAGAGGCTGTCCCAATGAGTGTTCTTGACATTTTTGTCAAAAACCAGTTGGCTGTAAATATGTGGATTAATTTCTGGGTTCTCTACTCTGTAGTATTGTCCTATGTGTCTGTTTTTATGCAATACCATGCTGTTTGGTTACTTGAGCTCTGTAGTATATTTTGAGGTCTTGTATTGTGATACCTCTAGCATTGTTGTTTTTGTTCAGGATTGCTTTGGCTAATTCGAGTCTTGTGGTTTGACACAAATTTTATAACTTTTTTTCTATTTCTGTAAAAAATGTCATTGGTATTTCAAAATATATGTCTTCCAGTTCAGAAATTCTTATATATGCTTGGCCTACTGTGTGGTTAAATTTTTATTTAATTCATTACATTCTTCAACTCTGAGATATTTGTCTTTTTTTTAAAAAAAATGTCTTTTTGTTGTTGAATTTCTTATTAAAATTATGAAATATTTTTCTGATTTTGTTGAATTGTCTATATTTGTGGGGTTTTTTTTTTTGTATCTCACTGAATTTTTTTTTGGTCATTATTGTTTTTGAGACAGGGTCTCACTCTCTTGCCCAGGCTGAAGTGTAGTAGTGTGATCATAGCTCACTATAACCGCAAACTTCTGGGCTCAAGCAATCCTCCTGCCTTGGCCTCTTGTGCTGTGTGTCACCATGCCCAGCTATTTATTTATTTATTTTTTGTAGAAATGTGGTCTTGCTATGTTGCCCAGGCTGGTGTCGAATCTCTGGCCTCAAGTCATTCTTCCATCTTGGCTTCTCAAATTATTGAGATTACAGGCATGAGCCACTATGCCTGGCCCCATCAAGTTTCTTTCTTTTTTTTTTTTTTGAGACTGAATATCACTCTGTTGCCCAAGCTGGAGTGCAGTGGCGTGATCTGGCTCACGCAACATCTGCTGCCTGGGTTCAAATGATTCTTCTGCCTCAGCCTCCTTAGTAGCTGGGATTACAGGTGCCCACCACCATGCCCAGCTAATTTTTGTATTTTTAGTAAGATGGGGTTTCATCATGTTGGCTAGGCTGGTCTCAAACTCCTGACCTCAGGTGATCCACCCATCTCGGCCTCCCAAAGTGGTGGGATTACAGGCATGAGCCACCATGCCTGTCTGGTCAATTTCTTTAAGATTATTATTTTGAGTTGTTTTTATTTCTGGCATTTCTTATATTTCTTATGATTATTGTCTGTTACTGGAGCATTATTGTTTTCTGTTGGAGGTGACATGTTTCCCTTCTTTTTCATGGTTGATATATTTCTACATTAATTTCTACATATCTAGTAGAAAATCATCTTTTCTATTTTTATGGAATAGGTTTTCAAGGGAAAAGTTTATTTGTATGAATGGGTCTTGGGGTGTCAATACAGTGGGGTGCATTGGCCTTGGGTCTAGGTGGATACAGTAGTGTAGTCTCCAAGTAGTTTCTTCAGCTATAGTCCACACTAGGGGTGTTTGCAAGTTTCCCAGTAGCCTACGCTGAGACAATTTGTGGTATGACGCTATGGCTTTGCCAGGGGTGGGCTCGCCTGGCTGTTTCTGTTTCTCAGGTTGGAAGTATGTGTGTGTACACAGTGGGTCAGTCAACATGGGGTCTGGCTCTCCAGGGTTGGAGCCTTCATCCATCTGTGTGCTGGAAGGGTGTAGTGGCTACTGGCCCCCAGAGGAGGGCACACTGCAAAAGTGACTATAGTCTTAATATTGCACCAGACTGCAGCAGCTTGGCGTAGAGGGAGATGAGCACCAGGCATCTCTAGTCAGCTATCTTGCTCAGAAGTTTTAAATTTTGATGAAGTCCAATTTGCCTATTTTTTCTTTTGTTGCTCACACTTTTGAAGTTATAACTAAGAATTCTTTGCCAAATTTAAGATCATGATTTACCTCTGTGTTTTCTTCTAAAAGGTTTATAGTTTTTGCTTTCTTACTAAATTTTCATAGATTTTCTTGAATAGAAGTTTCTTCACTTGCTGTTTACCCTTAGTCTAGAGGCTTTAAAGCATTTTTGTTTGGTTGGTTTTTTGTTGTTGTTGTTGGAGATTCTCACTCTGTCGCCCAGGCTGGAGTGCAATGGTGTGATCTTGGCTCACTGCGACTCTGCCTCCCGGGTTCAAGAGATTCTCCTCAGGCCGGACATGGTGGCTCAAGCCTGTAATCCCAGCACTTTGGGAGGCTGAGGCGGGTGGATCATGAGGTCAAGAGATCAAGACCATCTTGGCCAACATGGTGAAACCCCGTCTCTACTAAAAAATACAAAAATTAGCTGGGCGTGGTGGCGCGTGCCTGTAATCCCAGCTGCTTGGGAGGCTGAGGCAGGAGAATTGCTTGAACCCGGTAGGCGGTGGTTGCAGTGAGCTGAGACTGTGCTACTGCACTCCAGCCTGGTGCCTGGCAACAGAGTGAGACTCTGTCTCAAAAAAAAAAAAAAAAAAAAAAAAAAGAGATTCTCCTGCCCCAGCCTCCTGAGTAGCTGGGATTGCAGGTATCCATCCACCACCATGCCTGGCTAATTTTTGTATTTTCAATAGAGACAACGTTTCACCATGTTGGCCAACCTGGTATTGATCTCCTGACTTTGAGTGATCTGCCTACCTCGGCCTCCCAAAGTATTGGGATTACAGGCATGAACCACCACACCTGGCCTAAATGTGTTTTTTTAAAAAATAATTTTCACCTGTTCCACTGGGGAGCTGGTCAGTGAAACTCCTCACATTGTCATGCCAGATGTTGATCTCTCTCTATTCATTCTTGACAAAAATCTTAAAATAAGAAAATATGTATTTGTCCCAATGCAAAGCAAAAATCATGTTTAATCAGAGAAAAACTAGACACATTTATAATAAAGTCAGGAATGGTGTAAGAATGTCTACTGTCCTTAACATTGTTTTGTGGATACTAGTCAACGCAATTAGGTAAGAGAAAGAAATTCTAGGTATAACATTTGAGAAGGAGGTACAATTATAGTCATTTGCAGACGTAGAATTTATAGCTGGAAAACCTGAAGCAATGAAAAGCAAAACTATGACATTGTAAGCAAATTCAGTAAGTAGTCTGGAGGCACAATGAGCATACAGAGTCGAAGCCTTTATATATGTAAACAACAACCAGTTAAAAAAAACGTAATAAAAGAGATTCCATTTATGAAGACAATAAAAAGGTAAAAAAATTTAGGGTTAAACTTAAGAAATGTGTAGGACCTGGCTGGGCATGGTGGCTCATGCCTGTATGTAATCCCAGCACTTTGGGAGGCCAAGGCGGGTGGATTCACTGCAAGTCAAGAGTTTGAGACCAACCTGGCCAATGTGTCAAAACCCTGTCTTTACTAAAAATACAAAAATTAGTCAGGCATATTGGTGCGGCCCTGTAGTCCCAGCTACTTGGGCCGTCTGAGACAGGAGAATCGCTTGAACCCGGGATACAGAGATTGCAGTGAGCCAAGATCACGCCACTGCACTCCAGCCTGGGCGACAGAGCGAGATGGTCTCAAAAAGAAAAAAGAAATAAGTAAGAGCTATATAAGGAAACACTTATAAAATTATCAAAAGAAGACTTAAACAAATGGAAAGAAATGGCATATTCTTAAATAAAAAACAACATACAGTGGCACCCCACTTATTTGTGGGTCACATATTCTAATATTCTATCTACCCTCAATAGATGCCTGAAACCTTGGATAGTACAAAACCTTATTTATATTATGATTTTTCATGTACATATTATACATATCTATGATAAAGTTTAATTTATAAATTAGGCATAGTCATATATTAATGACTAATAATAAAACAGAACAATTATAGCAATGTACCAGCATCACGATGCTTGTACTTCGGGGCTATTATTAAGTAAAATAGAGGTTACTTGAATACAAGCACTGTGATACCATGACAGTTAATTTGATAACTCAGATGGCTACTCAGTGACTAATGAGCACACGGTGTATACAGCATGGATATGCTGGACAAAGGGATGATTCGCATGCCAGACAGGACTACAGCAGGATGGTGCAAGATTTCATCACGCCACCCAGAACAGCACGCAATTTAAAACGTATGAATTGTGTATTTCTGAAGTTTCCCATTTAATATTTTCAGATCAGGGTTGACTGCTGGTAACGGAAACTGTGGAAAGTAAAACCCTCCTGTATATCTGGTAGGGTCTGTTCCTACTTAGAACATAAAGGTGTACTTTGGGGCTAACATAAAGATGTTCTAGGCTTATAGCTTTTGCTTTCTTATTACATTTTCATAGATGTTCTTGAATAGATGTTTCTTCACTTGCTGTTTGCCCTTAGGACTATTTCTAGAGGATTTAATGTTTTTTAAACATAATTTTCACCAGTTTCACAGGGGAACTCCTCACATCGTCATGCCACTTCTGTAGTGTGCCTCCCTCTGGGGGCCGGAAGCCAGTACGCCTTTCCAGGACACAGATATCGGGATGACAAGATCAGGGAATCCAAGGATGCAGGGAACTCCAAGATCAAGGTACTGGCAGATTTGACGTCTGGTGAGAGCCCTCTTCCTGATCCATAGGTAGTTGTCATTTCACTGTAAACTAACACCACAGAGGGTGAGCTATCTCTGGGTCTCTTTTATAAGGGCACTAATCCCATTCATGAGGACTCTACCCTCATGACCTAATCACCTACCAAAGGCCCTTAATACTATCACCTTGGGGGTTAGGATCTCAACATATGAACAAGTACAAAGGCTTTCTAATTCTCTCTTTCTATCTCTCTCAATCGTCATCATTGGTATGAGCTCAATTCTTGTTTTTAATGGTTTACAATTCATTATTACACATAATTACTTTGGTGTTTACATTGCTAGTAGAGGCCACTTTGATCTGGTTCCTGTGACCTTGTGACATACTCTTATCAATTTTTTGGAACAGTTCTTTGCTTTATGGTATAAAAATGTGTTCTAGACTTGTACGAATCCTACTTGGCTTCGGAATCAGCCATTTCTTTTGAGGAGTTCTGTCTCCTTTTAGAAAGGAATGGTGTTAGAAGCTGAAATCTGGGTACTAGGTTTGTTCCTTTTTACTGGGTGTCTTTGCTTCCTGGAACTTTCAGCAGTCAGCACTAGGAAATATATCCACGTACACACCATTGCTCTGAAGGCTGGGAAGTCCAAGGTCAAGGTGCTGGCAGATTTGATGTCTAGTGAGGGCCCTCTTCATGCATTGCTTAACGATGGAGACACGTTCTGAGAAACATCTCTTTAGGTGATTTTGTCATTGTGTGAACATCCTAGAGTGTACCCAAACCTAGATGGCATAGCCTACTATACACCTTGACTATATAGTGTAGCCTAGCCATGGAAGCCTGTACAGCATATTACTGTACTGCATCCTGTAATACAATGTTAAGTATTTGTGTATCTAAACAGAAAAAGGTACAATAAAAAGACAGTATTACAACCTCATGGGATACCATTGTATATGTGATTGTCATTGACTGAAGTACTGTTGTGTGGCACATGACTACATACCCATACCTACAAATACACATACACACACATGTATATGTATTCATACATAGACATGTGCACATAAACAGGCACACAAACATACATATACAATTTTTAAGAAATTGTAGAATGGGTGAGAAGCAAGTGCTCTTGTTCGTAGTAGGATGCCGATAGCAGGACTGGTAAATGTAGAGGGTGTGCTGGGGTTGGAGAATCATCATTTTGCAATTGTCATAGAATTGACAGGGTCAGACAAGAATTGTCAATGGATACTCAAACGAGGGGAAATTTTAATGAGCAGCAGAATATTTGCATGGTCTTAAAGTATGTCTTCACAAACTCTCAGTTGCAAGGGAGGAAAAAAAAAACCCAGTAATTACATAACAGAGAAATCGGGCAATATCCCACCTGAGTAATCAAAATTAAGATCACCTATGAGAGACTGGTGGCCATTATGTGCTTCCAGTTATGCTAGGCAGAAAAGGACAGAGCATTACTTGTGGAGTATTCTGGGAGAAAATGCAAAACCTCAGTGTCACCATGAGGAAATATCAGACAAATGGAAAATGAGGAATACAAAGAAAGGGCGGGTGAACCACGGTCTTCAGAAAATGTCAGTGCTGTAAAAGACAAAGGCGAGTCGTGGGAATGTTCCCGATTAAAGGACAGAGTCAACACCTGGCCTGGCCTGGTGGCAGATGCCTGTAATCCCAGCACTTTGGGAGGCTGAGGAAGGAGGATTGCTTGAACTCAGGAATTTGAGACCAGCCTGGGGAACATGGGGGAAATCCCATCTCTACAAAAAATACCAAAAATTAGCCAGGAGTAGTGGCGTGCACCTGTAATCCAAGCTACTTGGGAGGCTGAGGTGGGAGGATCACCTGGTCCAGGAGGCTGAGGCTGCATTGAGCTGTGATAGCTCCACTGTACTCCAGCCTGGGTGACAGAGTGAGACCCTGTCTCCATAAATAAGTAAAAAAATAGAAAATAAATTCAATACTTGACTTTAGATTAGATCCTGTGCTGGAGAGAAAAAATGCTACAAAGGAATTCATTTGAAAACTGACAAAATTAGTATATGGATGGTAGATTAGATACAAGTATTGGATCAGTGTAAATGCATTAAGTTGGTAACTGTACTGTGATTAAGTAGGAGACTATCTCCCAGGAAATATACATTGAAGTATGTAAAGTTAAGGGACTTTATCCTCAAATGGCTCAGAAAAAAGTTATGTATGTTCACAGAGAAAAAGAAAAGAGAAATAGGCTGGGCACGGTGGGTCATGCCTGTAATCCCAGCACTTTGGGAGGCCGAGGCAGGTGGATCACCGGAGTTCAGGAGTTTGAGACTAGCCTGGCCAACATGGTCAAGCCCTTTCTCTACTAAGAATACAAAAAAAAAAAAATTAGCTGGGCATGGTGGCAGGTGCCTGTAATCCCAGCTATTCAGAAGGCTGAGGCAGGAGAATTGCTTGAACCTGGGAGGTAGAGGTTGCAGTGAGCCGAGGTCTTGCCACTGCACTCCAACCTGGGCAACAAGAGCAAAACTCTGTCTCAAAAAAAAAAAAAAAAAAAAAAAAAGAGAGAGAGAGAGAGACTATGAGAGGGTAAATGATAAGGCAAATGGGGTGAAATGTGAACCAGATTAAAGAGCATACAGTGTTTATTATGTGATTTTTTTTTGCTTTTTAGTGACAAGGTGCTCTGTTGCCCAGGATGGAGTACAGTGATACAATCATAGCTCACTGTAATCTCAAATCCCTGGACTCAAGTGATCCTCTTGTCTCAGCCTTCCGGTGGCTAAGACTACAGGCACGTACCACCATGCACAGCTACTTTAAAACAAATTTTAAATTGTCTTTGTAGAGATGTGGGTAGGGGTGGGGATATCCTTTTGTTGCTCAGGCTGGTCTCAAATCCTGGCCTCAAATGATCTTCCTGCCTTGGCCTCCCGAAGTGCTGGTATTACAGGTGTAAGCCACTGCATCTGGCCTCTTGTGATACTTTTAGCTTTGTAACTTTTTATTAGTTTGAAATTATTTCCAAATAAAAAGTTTGTTAAAAAAGTCCCTTATTTAAACAAAAACCTTCGTTGAAAGAAAAGTGTTTACTTCCAGCTCTGGAATTAGGAAGTAACTCCCATAATTCTAAAGAATCTGCTTTCATGTTATGTGATTTAGAGATAGGAGGTCTCAGTGTCATCTTATATGATCTACCATCTGGAGCAGCAGCTCCTCTGAGAACTTCCCTGGTGGGCGGTTAGTTTACCTCTTCTTGGGCATGTTCAGGGATTCACAGTCTTAAAATTATGCCATTCCAGTCTAGAATGGTGAGATGGCTGTCTTACAAATGCTTCTACACTCCCTCCTTATACGACTAATGCCATGTTGTAGATAGACAACTCCATAGGTCACAGTGGTTTTGGAAGATGAAAGGCTAAAGAAGTGTACCCGATTTAGATGCTGCTTATGTGCAGCTCAGAACCCTCCTACCAAGCCTCTGTTGGAATAATGGTTCTGGGTGGTCCAGCCCCTCCCAGGAGCTATGCCATACTTCTTCCTTCCTGCGGGTGCATAACTGATGCCCTAGCATGGGTCACCTTGGGAACTGCTCTCCGAGCATATCCATGCATCCTATATTTGTTGAAGAGTTAATACCTATAGGGCCATCCTTGATCAATGGAATATGGGTGTGATGGTTCAATGTTTCTCTAGGACAGTTTGCAGATGCTTCTCACAGGGCTCCTGGGAAGGACAGCGGGGTGGAGCCCAGCTGCCTTTCGCAGTGGCTCATTTGGTGTTGGCTTTCTCTGCCTCCCTGTTTTCACTGCGCATCACTCCTCTCCCTGAGATCACTGCCTGAATAGCCCAAGCACAGACTTTTGTCTCAGGTTCTGCATCCAGGGGGAATCAGGCTAAGATAGCATCATTAGAAAAAAAAGTCTAAAACTCCTATGGGAGGGATGCTAATGGCTAATTTACCCAAATCCCGCAGCTCAGCTGAATGGCTAAAGCAAGATTAGTTTATCTTAAATAAATATCATTTTGGGACTCATTGACTTCTCTGCCTCTGCAACATATTTCTCTTCCTTCAACTATTTCTCCTTCTTCTAGTTCTCCCCATCTTTTTTTTTTTTTTTTTTTTTTTAAGAGATGGGGTCTCAGTATGTTGGCCAGACTGGTCTTAAACTCCTGGCTTCAAGTGACCCGTTAAATCCCCAAAGTGTTGGGATTATAGGAATGAGCCACTGTGCCTGGCTCTCCCCACCTTTTTATTCCTGTGTGTCTCCATCCCATTGACCATTCATCTCCCTTCCCTCTTTGTTTTGTTTAATCTCTGGTCCTTCATCTCTTTCCACCCCATCCTCTTTCTGTCTCCTTTATGCCTTTGCTTTTTGTTTTTCTGTGATTCCTCTCATCTTCCTCCTTTTCTGATTGTTGGTAAACACAGCTGAGAGTCAACCTAGCTTGTAAGACAATTGAATCCCATGGCCTCACTCTCCTTGCATTGTCTCACAAACAGGAGAGTGAAAGGTGGGATTAGATTGTGTGCTCCCCCAAACTAAGGATTCCGAAGGCTTTGCTGGGTAATGATGGGATTGGCCTTAACAGGCATCCCATGAGTGTGAAAGAATTGGTGAGTGAAAGGTATGTAGAGGGATGATGGACGGGGCTTTGACATTCCCTGTAGCCACAAAAGTCACAGAGTTGGCTGTGAGTACTGGTCCTGGGTGTAGGGACCCCCCAGCCCAATCTTCTCTCTCCACTTTCTGTTCTTTAGCTGGATTGTGGAAGCTTATGCATTCCTAGGAGTGGAAAATTAGAACCTGGAGAGGCGCTGGAAGACCCATGGAGAAATCTGAGTCCTCATTGCTTCCTGCCAGGATAATGCAAAGCAAGGCCAGGTCTCCGTGGAGGTGACTTGTTTTGCTTTTCTATAAAACCACCCAAACATGTGCATTTGTTCACATTTCAAATCCACTTTATTACCAAAACGAACAAAAGGAGAATGAGGCTTAAATTAAATAAATTATGCAAATATCTCAAGAGATAAGGTTCC